GCGATGTCACTTCTGAGATTAGGTTACAAAGAGACTGTGGCTTCTTCATAACTTCTCTCTCTTTCTCTATGGACCTAATAGAAGACAGTTGCTTCTCCATGGAAAGACCCATGCGGTAAGAAACTGATGTTGGCGTCATCCACCAGCCAGTCAGGACTTGCAGCGTCTGCCAAGAGCTGCAGGAGTGAGCCTGAGAGCACATCCTCCCCCTGCCAAGCCTTGAGACATCTGCAGCCCCAGCCAATGCCTTAACTGCCCAGCGGCCCCAGGCCAAGCAGGGCCAGATCCCTGAATCACAGAGCACAGAGACGATGAGGGAATAGACACACGTTGTATGAAGTTGCTAAGGTTTGGGGCGACTTGGTTTTTGTTTTGTTTTTTGAACTCCTGGGCTCAAGAGATCTTCCTGCTCAGCCTCCCAAAGTGCTAGTGTTACAGGTGTGAGTCACCATGCCTGGCTTTTGTTTTTTTGAGACAGGTTTTCACTCTGTCACCCAGGCTGGAGTACAGTGGCTTGGTCATGGCTCACTGCAGCCTCAACCTCTCAGGCTTAAGTGATCCTCCCACCTCAGCGTCCAGGGTAGCTGGGACAATAGGCACGCACCACCGTACCCAGCTAATTTTTTTGTATTTTTAGTAGATGCAGAGTTTTGCCAAGTTGCTCAAGGTAGTCTTGAACTCCTGGGCTCGAGTGATCCTCACGCCTCGGCTTCCGAAAGTGTTGGAATGACAGGCCTGAGCCACGGTGCTGAGGCTGGGGTGACTTGTCACTCAGCAGTAGTTTACTAAAACATTCTCACTCTTTTCCCCCTCACTCTTGCTTCCTTTGAATAGGAACCCCCACAAAACTTCAGCAAGTGACCTTTGCCTTGAGCTTTGTTTTCTAGGGAAACTGTCCCCAAGATTCAGCCCCTAGTGACCTCCATATTATACCAAAGAAACAAAATATCATTTACAAAGTCAGCAGTGATCAGCCCTAAATATGCACCAATTTCTCCCAACTGGGGCTTCTGCTTTGGACCATGTGGGTCTCAGAGGATCCTGCCATGAATGCATTGGGGTTGTCGTGCCAGCTCTGCACACGGGTGACATTGTACACTCTGGGGCTCCCTGCAGCAGCCCACGGCATTTCCCCGGAAAATCATGAAGCCAAACTCTGGGCCGGAAGCTGGTGACACCCGGATTCTGGATTCTCACATTCATTTGCAGTGCTCCACCTATCATATGACTAAGATGACGTCTTTCCAGTGATAAAGAAATAAAGGGCTTTTGAGTTTTCAGTCAGTGGGAGAGGTGGGGATGGGGGTGGGCCTGGCTTTCTGTGCCTGTTACTTTTCTTCTCTCTCACTCCCACAAGCTGCTTCTAACCACCTTATTAAATACTAGATCCCCCACACTCACCCCACCAGGCTGAGCGGGGAGCATGGAAATGAAATTTTACATCAAGCCGCTTTCTGGTTTGCACTTTAATAAGATCTGGGGTAATAGGTGCCGTTGAGGTTGAGGATGTTTGTGTTTTTTCGGGGCTCTGTAGGTGCAGGAGATGATGGTTCTATTCAAAGCCCTCAGGGCAGCACAACTGAATGCCCATTTCCTCCCTGCACCCCGCAAAAAAGCCTGGCTAATAGAGACTCAGCAGAGGACACTCACATCCCACTCCAGTTTCACTCTGCAAAAGGACAAGTGATTTTAATAAAAGGAGGTGGGCAAATTCTGGAATTCTCTTTCTGGAACCCTGGATGGGACTTCCACTTCTCCTTGGGCTACCTACAGACTTCAGCAGTGGCTCAGGACAGAGGAGCAGCAGCAGCTACGGAAGTCCCTGCTCTTATCAAAGGCCTATCTCAAAGGGCATCTCCAGGAGACAGGCGGTATGATGCACGCAGCACCAGCATGCATTTCCCCCACTGAGGGGGCTTGCTGGATCCTCTTCGCTAATAATAACCCTGCCAACTGAGCAATTAAGCTGTGAGCACATTCCAGGGACTTGTCAGGATATGAGAGGTTTTTGCCCTGCAAGCTCCTACTTAGAATTGCACCCATTTCAGGCTGGGTGCAGTGGCTCACTCCTGGAATCCCAGCACTTTGAAAGGCCAAGGCAGGAGGATTACTTGAGCCCAAGAGCTCGAAACCAGCCTGGGCAACATAGCAAGACTCTGTCTTTATTTAAAAAAAAAAAAAAAAAAAAGAATTGCACCCATTTCAGATTTCAATTTGAGCTTGGCTGACCCAAATCAATTGCCAAATCTGTGTCTGTTACTTTTCTTCTCTCTCACTGATACAGGCTGCTTCTAATCACGCCGTGAAATATGAGATCCCCCCGAACACACATCCCCCAAGGCTTGCCAAAGAGGGCCCCTTTTGTCTTGTCTTAGAATAATCTCACCCTGGATACCTCTTGTGACCTCTGGCCACTTGCTGCCCTGATTTCCAACTTTATGGCTGCATGACATCCTGACCACCTAGTCAATCATGAGGTCAGCACAGCTCAGGACAGATTTGGCCAGGACAGTGCTGGTCACTCAACACACATTTTCTGAGCTTCCGAAGACTGGATTAAAACACATTTGGTGTAGAAATAGGTCAGAAGAGCAGCCGAACACACACAGACTTGGTAAGCACACAAAAAATTATAGTCCCAGGGACACAGGGAAGGTGAAAGACCTCCCTTGGGGCATCTGAAAGATAGGGAATGAGGGTTTAATTAGGGAATGCAGCTAAGAGGTGAGGAGGCTGTACTTTATGTGAAATAGACTAAGATACGGACATCAATGTCAGACCTGGAGTTCCAGTCCTGGTTCTTCCACTTAGGTAGTTAGTGGCCTTGGGCAAGTGGCATAGCCTCTCAGGCTCAGTTCTGTGCCTTTGTAAGTAAGGACAATGATATCTACTGCCTGGGGATGGTGATCAAAATAAAATCATTTCCATAAAGCTCTCAGCCACGTGCCGGGCATTTTATATGCAATCAATAATGACAACTATCATGGCCATCTTGCAGCGACTCAGCACTGCACACTTGATACGTGTTCACACGTTCTCAGCTCACTTGGGCCCCACAACAGCCCTGCAAGGCAGGCAGGGAAGGTTTCTACTTTATTTATTTATATTTTTTGAGACGAAGTCTCACTCTGTTGCCCAGGCTGGAGTGCAGTGGCGCCATCTTGGTTCACTACAACCTCTGCTTCCCACAGTCAAGCAATTCTTGTACCTCAGCCTCCTTAGTAGTTGGGATTACAGGCATGTGCCACCACGTCCAACTGATTTTTATATTTTTAGTAGAGACAGAGTTTTGTCATGTTGGCCAGGCTGGTCTCGAACTCCTGGCTTCAGGTGATCCGCCCACCTTGGCATCCCAAAGTGCTGGGATTATAGGCATGGGCCACTGCACCCGGCCGGTTTTTACATTCTTTCTCATTTTACACACAAGGAAAATAAGGCCATGAAGATGTATGCAACTGGTTTGTTTTGGGCTACAGTGCAGGTCTCTTGACACTTCAAATTTAGTGTTTTCCCCCAGTATACGTTGCATTGAACGGTAAGGGCTAATGCTGAGTTCAGTGCTTAGCAAACAGGCCATTCATTAGACATAGACGGACTTGGTTGGAAGGGTGCAGTGGCTCATGCCTTTAATCCCAGCACTTTGGGAGGCTGAAGCAGGTGGATCATGAGATCAAGAGATCGAGACTGTCCTGGCCAACATGGTGAAATCCTGTCTCTACTAAAAATACAAAAATTAGCTGGGCATGGTGGTGCGTGCCTGTAGTCCCAGCTCCTCAGAAGGCTGAGGCAGGAGAATCGCTTGAACCCGAGAGGCGGAGATTGCAATGAGCCGAGATCATGCCACTGCACTCCAGCCTGGTGACAGAGTGAGACTGTCTCAAAAAACAAAAACAAACAAACAAAAAAACCCTAAAAACAAAAAACAAACACCATAGACAGACTCACTGCCTGTTATTTCTCTTTTAGGAGTCAGGGAGATTGTGACCTTGGTGGCTCAGTCACTTGCCTAGCCTCAGGGAATGAGGTGGAGGGCATTGAGGGAAACGGACTATACCTCTTTCATTCCCACCTCCCTCCCTTCATTGACCAAGTGGCAATGGGCACAAGTCCAGGAAGGGCAGGGGGCTGTTACAAGTCGGAGTGTCTATAAACTGCAGAAGATAAAATGACATTGGCTGCGTTCTCAAAGCCTATCCCCGAAGCATGCTGGAGGAGGGTCACGGGGGACGTGGAGGAGGAGGAGCTTTAGAGAAAGGATGCTTGTGCTCCCCTGGCTTTTCTTGATATTTCTGTTTGGGGGTTGAATTCTTGGGAGCTTCATCACATTTGGTTCTTGGCTGACTTCATATTCTAACCAATAACTCCCTTTCACCTGACCATGGAGAGGGACGGCCGGCCAGGGGTGAGGGCGGCCTTGTTTTAGGCCACGTGGCAGATGAGGCAGGTGTGAGGCCAGCTTGAGCATCTGGACGCTTTTGTCTCGGGCTACTGGCTGCTTGCCATTTTCTCCTTTCCGCCCTTATTTGGAGGCCCTGACAGCTGAGCCACAGACAAGCCTGGGGGAGCTGGGCACCAGCCAAATGTCACCCTCTGTTTCCCTGCATGGGTGCCAGTGTCGAGGAGAAAGAATCCCGAGGCATGGCGGTGAGATAACCAAGGACTCTTTTTTGCTCTTCCCACACCTTTGAAGTGGGAGCCTCTTGAGTCAAATCAGCAAGAATTCGGCTCTTGCGGCCGAGGGTCTGGGGGGCTGTAGGGGCTGCCCAAAGCAGAGGGGCTGTGACAAGCCCTGTGGGATGATAACTTTAAAAGGGCATCTCCTGCTGGCTTCTCACTCGGCTGTTTTATCGCTGCAAGTGACAGAATGGGGAGGGTTCTGTCTCTCCTGCGTGCTTGAAGAGTTGGGAGGACTATAAAAAGAGGAGGCGCTGGGCAGTTCAGAGACAGGGACGGACGTAGGCCAAGAGAGGGGAACCAGAGAGGAACCAGAGGGGAGAGACAGAGCAGCAAGCAGTGGATCGCTCCTTGACTACACCGGCATGGGCTCCTTCTCCGCTGTTACCGTGAGCTTCCTCCTCCTTCTGGCATTCCAGCTTCCAGGTCAGACCAGAGCTAACCCCGTGTACAATGCCGTGTCCAACGCAGACCTGATGGATTTCAAGGTAGGGCCAGGAAAGTGGGTGCAGTCTGGGGCCAGGGGGCTTTTGATGCTGTTCTCATTCCTTTTGATTTTCTCCAAGTCAATGAGGCTTATCCCATTCCTTGTATTTTCCTTTTGTAAAGAATTTGCTGGACCATTTGGAAGAAAAGATGCCTTTAGAAGATGAGGTTGTGCCCCCACAAGTGCTCAGTGAGCAGAATGAAGAAGCAGGGGCTGCCCTCAGCCCCCTCCCGGAGGTGCCTCCCTGGACTGGGGATGTCAGCCCAGCCCAGAGAGATGGGGGTGCCCTTGGGCGGGGCCCCTGGGACTCCTCTGATCGATCTGCGCTCCTAAAAAGCAAGCTGAGGGCATTGCTCGCTGCCCCGCGGAGCCTGCGGAGATCCAGCTGCTTTGGGGGCAGGATGGACAGAATTGGAGCCCAGAGCGGACTGGGTTGTAACAGCTTCCGGGTAAGAGGAACTGGGGATGGAAATGGGATGGGATGAACACTATTGGGAGACACCTTTAGCAGGAATTATTCCCTCTGCAGTTTCTGCCCCAACACCGTGACTGCCCCATAGGTGTCAGGACACACCATCTATCATCCTCAGCTACAGTCTGCTGAGAAAATGCTAAAAAAAAAAAAAGTGACTGCCACTAGCACTGGGAAATTAAAATATTCATAGATCCAAGTTATCTTTGCATGGCTGATTAGCAGTTCATGTTTCTCTCCAGAACTGCAAGATCCCGAAGGGCTTAAGTGACATTTAGCCTGCTGAGTAACTTGCTTATCAATTCATGAAGCTCAGAGAGTCATCAGGCTGGAATGGGGGCTGGTGGGAAGGTGGTCAGTAATCAAGCTCAGAGGATGGGCACACTCATACATGAAGCTGACTTTTCTAGTACAGCCAGGTCACCAGGCCAGATATGTCTGTGTTCTCTTTGTAGTACCGAAGATAACAGCCAGGGAGGACAAGGAGGGCTGGGCCCTGGGGCAGACGGCAAGAGACTCTTGTCCCCTGGGGTCTCTCCTGCAACTTCGTGTCATCTCATTGCCCTGGAGTTGTGATCATCCCATCCAAGCTGCAGCTTCCTGTCAACACTTCTCATATTTTATGCTAACTGTAGATGAAGTGTTTTGATTGTGGCTTCCTCATCTCTCCCACCCCATGCATTAAATTTTAAGGTAGAACCTCACCTGTTACTGCAAGTGGTTTGAAAGTGAATAAATTTCAGCACCATGGACAGAAGACAGATGCTTGCATTGGTGTGATTTCTTCCGTCTCCAGGAAGAGTTCAGCTTGATTTTCCCTGTCATTTTACTCTTTGTCAGAGAAAAACAAATGCTCAATTTTTCTTCTTCCTTTCATTTCTCCCTCCTTTTTTTGTGGGTCGCTGGGGAGGCCTCAAATTCCACCTCCAGTGGTTTTTGGTTACAGGGATTTTTGTTGTTTTTAGAGGGGGACATTCAGAAAATGAGAGTATTTAATTAGATTCTCTCTGATACATTACAAAAGACATGCTGCAGTGAAATTAATGGTACTTTTTAGTTTTGAAAAGAGTAGGCAGAGTGTTGAGTTTAAAAGCTGAGCCGGCCAGGCGTGGTGGCTCACTCCTGTAATCCCAGCATTTTGGGAGGCCAAGATGGGAAATCACTTGAGCCCAGGAGTTTAAGACCAGCCTGAGCAATAGAGTGAGACCCCACCTCTACAAAAAAAAAAAAAAAAAAAAAAATTAAAAATTAGCCAGGGGTGGTGATGTGCACCTGTAGTTCCAGCTATTTGTGAAGCTGAGGTGGGAGGATGGCTTGAGCCTAGGAGGTGGAGGCTGCAGTGAGCTGGCATCATGCCACTGCACTCTAGTCTGGGTGACAGAATGAGACTTGTTTCAAAAATATAATAAAAACAGCACGGTGAAGACAGGTTTGCCATGCAGACGAACTCTGAGTTTATGTGCCTTTGGTGTACTAACAAGTATTTGGAAAATAGCCATAATCTTTGACTAATTCGGGTCCAGAGGGCCTGGGCTTGTATTTTACTAAGAGCCACTGGAGAATATGCAGGCTTTTTCTATCTGCTCCTGAAAAGGGTATTGTTCTGAGCACAAAAAACCAGGGTTGAAGTTCACCTTAAACAGAGTGACCTGTCTTCCCACCTGTTACCCCATGGACCCCACCCTCATCAGATTCTGCGGCACTCAAACACCCCACACCCTCACGTGCCCTTGTGCCCTTATTTCTCCTGTTCCTTTCACCTGGGTTTCCTTCCTCCCGTCCTCCCGAGGACATTGTACTCATTCCTTAAGGCTCATGTGAGCACCACTTCTTCCCTGATACCTCATGCCCAGTAACAATGAGTCTCTTCACAGGCAGCATTTCACATGTAATGGTAATAGCAGCACACAACATGAGCTTCCAGCGTGCAATCGCTTGTGTCTACGTCCCTAGACTGCAAGCTCTTTGAGGGCAAATGCTCCTTTGGCACTCTTTTGAGTTGATGCCCCCTAAATGTTGGTCAAATTGCCTTGGTCTTGTCCAGAAATTGGGAAAAGAGGAAACGAAGTGGCAACTTGCTCCTTGCAGAGGAAAGTGGGAGGGTCCCAGTGAACTGCTTGGGAGGGGGTGGAGGTGGGGGGAAAAGCTTCATCTAACCACTTCCAATCAAAATGTTCCCTATCTGGGCTTTACACACTGAAGGGCAGAAACCGGGGGGCAGACAGAGAATGACAAAGGATGAAGCTAAGAGCGACAGGAGACAGCACTGGCCCAAACCTGGCTCCAGAGGTCTGGCACGGTATTAGGCCGATATGAGTTGCCAGCAGGGGAAGTAGCAGCTGGGCCCATTCCTAAGGCGTCTCTGTCTCCGTAACACAGGGAGTTCTCATCGAATAGAAATGACAAATACACACCCCCCCGAGTTCCAGAACACCTGGGGCTAGGTACAGGGGCCTGAATTGACTGCAACTGTTTCTGTCCCTGATGGAATGATGACTTGAAGCAGATCAGAGACAGAGGCCATGCTTCTTGCAAAACAAAAGCAAGCAACCAAAATGCAATGGCAGATGGCAGCAACAGAAGCTGACCACGGGTCTTCAGCTCTCCAGACCCAGCGCCAGTTTCACTTCTTCTGGTTGGACATCAGGGCATCTGCTTGCAGGGAAAATTCCTAATAGAATGGATTCCCCATCTGCTGCTTCAGGATGCTGTTACTAGCAGGAGGAGATGGTTTCTAGATGACAGGATCGGGAAGAGTGCTCATCAGGGAGGAACAGATACTGCTGACTTCTACGAAGACCCACAGGATGAAATCCGTTCTTATTAAGGTCGCCGCTTGGTAGAGAAATGGACTCCTGTGGATGAAGAGCCCTGCTGGGCAGCCGCATAGGGAGAGCTCTGAGACAATAAAACCACATCCTAGTGTGATTTTCACACATCAGAAACAGGGGGAATAAAATAAAAACCAAGTATCCCTTGAAAGAAAGAGCAGCACGGAGACAAAAGGCTAAAGGAGACAGAAGACATTTTATTCTGACATGTTACGGTTACAGTGAGAACTCACAAGTTCCAAAGGTTCAAATAAAAATAGCATTTTACAAATTAAAAAAAATACAATTTATATACACAGTGGAATCAGCTCACATCATACAAACCAACAGTGCAAACAGAAAAAGGAAGCTGCGACGGTGGCGACCGCCAAGGTCCGCAGAGCTGTGGGGCAATACTGCACGTCAACACTGCGGGGCTGGAGAGGCCTTCCTGTCACCCAGGGTCCTGTCAGTGCATAATTCTGCATCACAAATGTCATACAGAGGGCTGGGTCCAGAAAGTGTCCCTTCCAGCTGGGAACTGTTAATCAGGGTCATGAGCAAATCATCCCGCGGCACAAGGTCCCACAGCCAGGGCCAGGGACCCCTCAGTCCCGCTCCCCAGTCATCTCGCCTAGGAGCCACGGGACGCCGAGCTGGAGACGAAACACAAACCACCACCTCTAGCCACCCGCAGTATCCCCATCCAAGGGTCTGTTTGACTGAGGTGCCTTATCACCTGGTGATGGGGCTGCTAATGGGTGAGATGCTGAAAGGCTGGTTTCTAATGGACAGAAATGGAAGGAGCAAGGCTTACAGTTTACTGTCACGAGTGGAGAAGTTGTTGTCTTTGGACTTATCTGGAAAGGGCAGATGCAGAGAGGAGAACAGGAAACCATGTGCCTTTGCATGGGGCCTGGGTTTGGGGCCTTCTTGGCGGCCATCCAGTCAGTTTAGGGGAGGGAGGCATCTGCATTCTACTGTCTATCTCTGGGCTAAACTCATGGGAACAAAATATCCGGTGACTTAAACACAACAGGATGGGCACGAGGGATGAATTCCAACAACATTCACCGGGTCAGCCTGGAGGCAAGCGGCTGCTGATCCGGCCCTCCAGAGGCCAGGGTCCCCCTGCAGGGCGTTAGCTCTGCCAACTCCGGGAAGGGGTGGGGAGAGGGCATGAAGTGTCTGTGACAGTTGATCACACCATTCTCCCGACTTGGACAATTGGCTTCCTTTTTAGTAAAATGAAGAAATAACGTGATCGAGCTCTGAACACTGCCATCAAACAGTGGCAGCTGGCTGAACACATTTAAATAAGAATTGCCTTTCTGGTCCTCGTGATCTCCTGTACTATTTCCTGGGAGTATCATCCCCCATTTCACATGTCCCATTCTGGAAGCAGAAACATTTAGAAGTCAAAGTAATTTTGGTCAAAGAGATAAGAAAATGGGGAAAATGGAAAGGGCCACAGTCAGTTGGAAAAGAACTCAAAGAATTCCTCTCTGGAGTGGAATTATTCCCCAGGGTGTGCTGAGTGCGAGACCTGGACTGGCAGAGCCAGGACTGATGCCCACTCCAGAGTGAAAGGTAGCCTTGGCCAAGGAGGTCGCCCAGGGCTGGGCCTGAGAGAGCTGTGCTGCCAGGGCCAGGCGCCAAGGCCTGCGGGCAACCTCAACATTAAAACAAACAAACAACAACAACAAAAAAACAACTAAACGTAAATGAAGGCCATCTTGAGCCAAAGCACGTCTGCCCCGGGGATGCCGGCTGGAACTGAGATGGCATGAAGAAGGTAGGAAGGTAAGCACAAATGCCCAATGCCCAGATGCTCACTTTGGGTGCCTAGTCAGAGGGGGCTGGCCAGCCTGGAGAAGAATGACGACACTGAACGACAGGGGTAGTTCCCATGCTTCATGCGAAACTCCCGGGCACGTGCTGGCGGGAAGAACCTCCCCACGCACCCTCTCTGTGGCGTGGGAGACTCTCCTGAAGGGCCTGTATATGTAAGCTTGGGATGGCTAGTGCAGGGAGGAGAGAGGGGTTTGTGAGGGGCAGACACCCTCTTCCTCGAATAGGCCATCCGCTTTATCATAGCATGTACCTTTCAGTGGTCACTGGCTCAGAAGTGCTTCCTTTCTATCAATGGTACCATTCCCCAGAGTTCAGTAAAGCTGTTTCATCTAGGAGTGCCCTGCTTTTAGCTAACTTTGGTGGGTGATGCCAAGATCCTCTGGGCTCTGGCTGCTCCATCATGAAGACGGAGATGGAAACTTAAGGAAATGAACAGGATCAAGATAGAAACATGTTACTCGGAGACTAGGAAAAATCTGCAAATGGAGATAAAGGGAATGTTAAGAACGAGGGTAGATGTAAATCTGATCGTAACATCAGATGTATCACCCAAGGGTTATTAGTGTGATTTCAGTGCTTTGTGTTTCTGGTGGGTGGTGGTTCTAAGGAGAGTCAAACCACAGGGGCAAAACAGGAGCCTCTGCTCACACCCAGGAAGCAGAACCTTTCCCTTCAAACAAACCAGCAAAGATATGGTGTTAGGAGTCCCGAATAAGGGAAGGCCTCTCTGAAATATGGAGAATTTTCTCAGCGCCCAATTCCTAAATCGGGTCATTAACTGAATGTTGTAACTGGTGTCTCCCCAGCTTTTGCCTTGGCCAAGTCCCTCTCACACATTTAAGGCAACAGCTGGGATCTCGAGGAAGGTAGCAAAGACGGCCAGGAATACCGCTCAGAGTGCAGCCCGGGTCCTCCTGATTCCACCTCTGGTTCTAGCTTGGTGGGGCCAGGGGTGGGTCTGTGCCAACCCTGGAGGGTGGGAACACAGGGAGCAGGAAGCAGGAAGATCCTTGCTGGGGAAGTCAGAAAAGTCCAAGCTCTGATGGTTCAAAACCACCCCCAGGACCTCTGAACAGCAAGGTGTCCGATGACTCCGGGCTTTCTGAGAGAGTGGGTGACTGGGAATCTTCCATGCCCTGAACAGCCCCAGCCAGCTGTGCCAGCCGGAGCGAGCATGAGCTGCCTCCCCAGGCAGCCCCAGGAGAGGGCGGGCTGGCCCATCAGATGGTCTGGTAGTGCTGCCTCAGCCTGGCCTGCAGA